TCACCATCGACGCCTGCTCCAGGTGTGTAGTCGCGGCAGTCCCATGGGTCTATTCCCACCCCTCAGCATCCACTGTCACTAGCCTCGCAGCCACAACAACCGTCGCCGCCGTATTCGCATCGCTCTCCCTATCCACCTCAGCAACCACTACCACAACCGCAGCCCCCACGTTCTCCGCGCAGCGAACACAAGCCCGTCGCGGCACCACCACAGCCCGCCTCATCCAGTCAGGCACCTCAGAAATCGTCTCCGAAGCAGGAGCCAGAACCACCGGTCCTACCGAAGAAGCAGCCTCACACAAAGCCCGTCTCTCCTCCAGAAGAACCAGCCGCGATGGATGTGGATATGGATGAACCTACTCAATTAGCTGCAGAAGTCAAGGCGTCCAAGAAGGACAAAGGAGCAACAACCACCACCACCACCGCCCCTTCCTCCAATGCGTCATCGCCGAAGCCCTCGCGTCCTGCCAAGGAAGCACCGCCTCCATTACCCCAAGGCTCCGGGTTGATCTCCAACGCTCTATTTGGAACAGATGACACTCGCTCCTCAGGTTCGTCCCGCACCACGCCCAACATTGTTCTACACATTCCCCTGCAGCGGGACGGCAATCAAATCATCAATTTTGCCCGTATGGCGGAAGAGCAATACGGTTTCGCAGCCTTGCATCCCCGACTGGCCGCGCACAAGGAGCGGCTAGCTCGCGTTGCGGCGGCAGGTGCGGCGTTGGAGCGGAACGAAAAGGGTGGCAAGGGCCTATCTGCGGGAGAAAGCGCGGACGAGGATCTCAGTCTTAATGTCGATCGTGATAGCGACCTTGATGGTGATGTCGCTATGGGCGGTGTGGGTGCGAATTCCGCGGCGGCCACAAACGGCACGACACCGACCGATGCGCCGGATGGGAAGAAGAAGCGTCGCAAGAAGAAAATGGAAGAGTATGACCGGGATGATCCTTTTGTAGACGACAGCGAGTTGGCTTGGCAGGAACATGCGGCCGCAAGCAAGGACGGGTTCTTTGTGTACAGTGGACCGCTCGTCCCCGAGGGAGAGAAGGTCCAAGTTGAACGGTGAGTTTCGTCTTGCTTTCTTTTCTTTTGGCATTACTAACGACGGTTGACAGGGCAGATGGAACTATCAAGCGTGGACGTGGCCGGGGTCGTGGTGGTCGCAGCCGCGGGGGTCCATCAACTCATCAAGTGCCAATTGCCGCCGCGGTCCCCATCTCCCAGGAGACAGGGCTGCCTCTCCGTGGTCCGGGATCCCGTGGTGGCAGCACCACCCGCCGTCCTCGTCCGAGCAAGTCCCGGCAACAGGCGGAACAGGACAAACAGGGCGCCTCTTCAACAACAACATCGCAGGGACGAGGCGGCGGAGCAGCTGGCCGCGGAGGAGGCGCGGCTGGAACCCGCGGTGCAAAGACACCATCGGTGGTCGAGCTTGCCCCTGCGCCTCGTCCGAGCTTGGCCCCTGCACCGGCGGGGCCCAGTCCTCTGGCTGGTCCAGAAGTGGCGTCAAAGTGACCTTTCCTGCTGCCACGGATTATTTCATAGAATGGACGTGTCGCCGACGCGGAAGTCGAACGATGGCTGGTTCTCAAGTCGAGGGATGTCCCCTTCATTGTTCTGGTGTACGGAGGCATATATGATTAATTGTTTGACTTGGCGTTTGAGGGTTATGCAGTACAATTGGTATGATGAAAGACGAATTGCCAGTCCAGCTTTGTCTGCTTGTGAATCCGATGAATGGGCTGGTGAATCAGAATGACTACCTAGCTCTTTGTTTCTATCATACATTGTCACACAGCCTATTATTGTTCTGATACGCAAGAAGGCGTGTTGCTTTTTAGTCTACAGAAGAGTTGATCATCAGAAATCGCTTAAGATTGAATCATCTGTCATATGGGCCCTGAGACTTATAAGATATCATTACCATGTCTCTCTGCCTTGGATGAGAATCAACAGTAACTGTTTTATGCTATGGAATAGGGACCGTGCATTTATTATACCTATTGCACAAGACAGTACGGATAGCTCTGTATATGTATGTTAAATGCATGGCATGTACCTTTTAAAAAGCGACATGGGTATGTATCACATAAGAGAAACACCAGTTGGCGACGCATGTAGATGCAACGAGATCCAGCCTCTGATTGGGAAAGCAACCGACTGCACAGACATTACATAAAAAAAAGGGTTCATGCGACCAGAACAGGCTATGGGATATGACGACAGACTCAAAGGGGGGGAAATATGATAAGGTACATATGAAGAAAAGAGATAGCCAATGAACAAAGACGCCCTGTCGATGCAAAAGTCGTGGGGAACATTTGGTCAAGTGCGGTCAGTTTTGCTAGTTATTCAACAACGATCGAGATGGCGGGCCACATGCCATTGAAGATGAAGAGAAAAAAAAAGAAAAAATTGAAGAAAAAACAAAAAGAGGAGTTGCCGTAGCGCCGATTGTAACATCGAAATGAGAAAGAAAGACTGGAATGTGCCGACGGGACAGGATGACAGCATGAAACATTATGGCTTTAGACAGCACCCGTCATATCGCCGCGCGACTGGTTCATCTGGCGCCGCCAGGAGCCTCCAGCAGATACTGGGGCCGGCGGAGGTGGCCCGCTCGGAGGAGGGGCAGCACGGATGGGTAAAGTCGCCGTCTGAAGTGGCATTCTCGACTTGGTGTTGTGGGAGCTGGCCGAGCGAGAACTGATCTGTGGTCGAGTAGGCGGGTCGATGGCAGACACAGGATCTCCCAGGTAATTGCGCGATGGACGACGGCCAGACCGATACTCTTCCTCTTTGGTTTCCAGCGACAGGTGCTCCAGCGATATGGGCGGAGGCGACCGGGTCGACCGAGCCATATGCGGGGATGGGTGTGAGGGGCCGTTGTAGTGCCGGTAGTGGGCGGAGGCTGAAGAGTCGTTGGCGATGTTCAAGGGAATCTCTCCAGACGTGGGCGTGTAGCCTGGAGCCCGAGAGGGCCTGCTGACGGCGGGCTTTGGAGGGGGCGTGGGGTGGCCTGCCTCTTCCTTGAGTGATTTTGGAGCCGGGGGAGCCAAATACGACTTGCGGTTGTGCCTCTCCATCATGCTGATAGCCCATTCCTGGAGATCAACCGGAGTACGTTTGGCAGCCTGCAGGAAAGCATCTTTGTCCTGAGTGGCAGTTAGTGAATAGCTATATCGCTGAAGATCGGCTTGGCCAAAGACAAGGGCTTACATAGAGCTCCCGAGGAGTCGGCCGTTCTTCGGGTTTCTTGAGGAGACACTTGGCGACAAATTCATGCAAGATAGGCGGGAAAGCATCGCTCTTAGGCAGCTTAGGTGCAGGCTCGTGAACAATCTGCTGCAAGAGATCCAGAATGCCCATCGGCCCAGCACTGGCGCGATCGCCTGCAGACGAGTCCGAGGCATCGAAGGGGAAGCGGCCAACCGCCAGTTCCATCACCGTTAATCCCACACTCCATACGTCTGATCGCACCGTGTAAGCGCCACCTTGGATTCGCTCGGGTGCCATGTAGGTCGAGGTCCCAACGAAAGTGTCGGCAATCGAGTTGACCGTCTCTGTAGCAACACCGAAGTCGCAAAGTTTGATATTACCGCGCGAGTTAACGAGGATGTTGGATGGCTTGATGTCACGGTGCATGATGCGGTGAGCTTCATAGAGGTATACCAGACCGGCAAGAACCGACTCGGTGATCTTGCCGAGCACATCGACTCGAACAGGACCAAAGTCTTTGGAAATGCGATCGAGGGAACTACATTCAACTAGAGTCAGGGTCCGAAAGAGAATTGCCTGGCTCAAATGACTCCCCATGGTATACGTACCCGCAGTCCATATATTCCATACATAAAACAATGTCCCTCGCTTCGTTCTGGAATGCTCCGTAAAAGGTCACGATGTGAGGGGAGTTGCAATCATGACCAACTTGGAGTTCACGCAAGATCTGCTTTCTCACATTCTCCTTGGCATCCACGCGAATGATCTGCAATCAACCATGATTCCAAGGACCATCGTCAGCAAAACTTCCTCCTTCTCGGTGATCCGGAATGAGAGCCCCGTACCTTCCTGGCCATCACAACCTTGGTGGATGCGTGCATCACCTTCGATACAGTTCCTCCATTGCCAGCTCCTAGCTCTTTCAGAGTAATCAAATCCTCACTTCGAAGATCCAGTCGAAATTCCAACCCAATCTCCAGAGTATCTGTGCGGTTGCTGTCGGTGTTTCCGATGGCACCGGGAATCTGAGCATCACCTTCCGAGGGTTTGGAGAGAGGTTTTGGCGCAGCGTTCAGGGCAAGGCCCTTGACATTCTTCCGTTTCAGCGTTCGAGCTTTGAATTGGTCGGCCATGGCTGGGGCGACGGAGTGACTCTGCCGCAGTCACTGCGAGGTGGGGTAAACGGAGTGCTGCGCAAAGCACGATAACGAGCTCGTGCACCAGGTCCGGACGATGAACAGAAGGTGGGGGGGAAGATGAATAACCCTGCTGTTGAGATTTTCCTGGTGCCTGCTTTGGTCTAGAAACCAATGACGCGGTCACGTCTGGTGGTATATCGACGACCAGGAAGGGACACAAAGAGGGGATAAGGAGGGGAAAGGCGGAGGGTCAATCGAGAAGATCACAGCCCCTTCCACACCAGATTTAATCGTTGTGACTGTGGTAATTCGCTGCAGAAGATTCTGATAATCAGGGACTGATTGGAGAGTTCATCTTGAAAGTGACGGGCGACTAACTGAGGGAGTTGGGAGACTCTTGAGTCGATGGGTCAACTATTGGGCGCTGAGGGATGCACACAAGCGCCGAGAATCCGGGAAAGTCAAGGCGACAGTTCCCGTAGGAGAAGTCCTAAGCCTTTTGATCTTTGGATTATACTGCCTCTTTCACTCTTTTTGACCCAGAGGCAAGCGGCCTTGATATGCGTAAGACGAGAAATCACATAGAAGAAAAAAGAGGAGGTTGTTTGGTAGTGGTTTAGGGGACGAAGAAGTGAAACAACTACCAACAGCTTGTGGATATTGTGTCTATGGTCTAGTTCAATCTATCCAGAGAGCAAAAAGGGGAAAGGAAGAGATCAGAGAATTTCTATAAGATGATCAAAAAGGAATGAGTCCATTTTGAATATGTACAGGTCGAAATTCAGGAAGATACTAATTGGTTACCTTGTTCGTGTTATCATTCACAAATCTCATGCTCCATCCCCAGCTGTGTGAAAACCGGGAGTGATAGGTTCAGCACCTTTATACATTGAATTATTCCATCATGCTGTTTTAATAATAATACTATTTGTGAACACTGTGTACTTAGGAATGTATACCCTAGCAGAGATGGATGATGAGCCTATCCAGTTGGTGAGGGTCACCTGACTTTGAGCCCTGCGCACTTGGTTTCTTTGGTCTGCTGTAATGCCAAGAAGGAGAGCACCAAACAGGCTAGACTCTTGTGGTCAGCCACACGTGATTTGATTGTCAAGCCACAGGGCTCCACTGCCGGTCGGAAGGCGGTGGCAGAACAGCGCCACAAGCTGCTCGCCCTTATGGGTTATGGCCTAAGGTATGCACGGCTTGGACGACGGAGGAGCTTACTAGTTTTCCATCTCCATACCAGCCATCATCTGGTGTCTCCTCTTGTGTTCATTCTTCTTGTTCCTCTTTTCTTCTACTTTCCTTACAATCTTCTCCTTTTCTCTCATTAATTAAACTTTACATTTCACTCCTCCGGTCTATCCTTCTCTACGCTCTACGAAATCTTCCCTTCCAGACACAATGAGCGCTCGCGATTTCGTAGAAGGTGAGGCTATGCTGGACGATGAGGAGAATGAGGAGGAACAGGAGGAAGACTACGAAGGCGAAGTTCGTGAGGGTGCTGGCACCGTGAATCACTACAATGACTCGAGTGAAGAGGAAGAGGAGGACGACGATGATGAGGAGGCAGCCCGTGCAGTATGATGCTCCGGTCTTTCAAGCGCAATTAAAATCAAAAGGACAAGTAAACTGACATTTTCTCACTTGTCAGATCCGCGAGGGTTTTATTGTCGATGAGGACGAAGAGATCGAAGAACGCGCCGAGCGCAGGCGCGAAAAAAGGAAGCGGCGTCGGGAGGAGCGTGAGCGCGAAGATGAGCATCTTGATGAAGAAGATTTAGAGCTCATCGGGGAGTTGAACCCAGCTTTTCAGTCTGCCGCAGCTGCAGAGGTATGCCAGACACACTACCTAAACCCCACCAGGATAATCCACGAGGCTGATCAAACCTTTGCCATGCAATACAGTCCAAATTCAAACGTCTCAAGCGTGGTCACAAAGAGCGAGACCATCGGCAAGCGTCTCAAGGCATCGACGACATTTTCAATTCGGATGAAGAAGAGGAGGCGGCAGCCGACTATGGCAGACCGAGTCATCGAAGACCTATGCGCGATGAGATGGACGATTTTATCGAGGAAGACGTCTTCACTGACGATGAGCTAGAGCGGGAACGGGAGGATCTGGAGATTGCCCGCCCGGCGAAGAGGGGCATC